TTCCAAAATTGCACCAAACAAACACAATGCAAAGAAAGTCCAGCGCTACGACGAATTGCCATCTTTTGCTGATTGGTTCGTGTTCATAAATAATTGTATTATGTACGAATCGATAAAATGCCATGATAATTTGAATCAGCATAAATTTTGAGCTTTTTTTTAAGCTTTGAGCAGATGGCATTATATCAAATCATCATTAAGCGAGGCAGCACTAAGTGGGGTTTTGCTGTATATTTTTTTGAAACGATAGAAAAAATTTTTACAGTTGATGTAAGAAATCAAACTATTGAAAAATAAATCATAAAATGCACAAAACATTTACTTGTATGTATACATGTATACAATTATTTTACATCATTATGAAACATTACAGAATATTTTGTAATGTTTTACAATTATCTAATAATAACAACAACAACAATAATAATAATAATTAAAAAAATACTAATAATTATGAATAATAATTCATATCTAATTTTTATTGTCATTGTAAACATTACTATAAAGGTCTTTTTAATATTTGCATTATCTACATTAAAGAAGTTTTAATTTTTTTGTTATTGAAATATTTTTATTTAATTTCATTCAATTTTAGCATATTATTTATTGATAATGTAATGACAATGAAACAACATTATTTTTTGATAAGAAACTCATAAGCCAAACTAACTAAACTAGATAGTTGTTAGTTTTGCTTATGAGTTTAGTTAGATGCTAAATCAAAATTAAGATCAGATTTTTAGTATTTAGCAAAGAATTTAAAGAATAAACAAATGTTTTTAGCCATTTTTAGTAGAGATTATCAGATTATATTTATATTCTATAATTCTAGAATATTGTAGCATCTATCATTGACACATGACATTGGAACAATTTAAACTTGAAATTAAAATATAAAAAAATAATTTCTTTCTTTTTCCAGCAAAATATTTATTAATAGAAAATATATTTTTAGCTTGATATATAGGCTAAAAACATATTTTCTATGTTTTCATGTCTACTGTCAAAATAGTCAATATTCCAAAAAATGTTTTTATATTATGGTCAATGGTAGACCTGAAGTAGACTTATAAATCAGGCTGAAAACGTTTGTTGCATTAATAAACATTTTGCTGGAAGCAAGAAAAAGTTACTTTTTGATATTTACAAGTGTTTTCAGTTTTTTTCCAATTCTTAATTAATTTGAATACAATATTTATATTAAAATATAAAAACATACTAACTGAAGAGGCATTATTGATTAAAAGTATAACATTTTTTTAATTAAAAATATAATTACTATAATTGTCTGTAAATAACTCATAGGTTATTTGTTTTAAAATTGATTTAAAAGATATGGAGCTTATCTGTTGATTTTAAATTGTAACTAAAAATTTATCTAACAGCGTTTTCTTTGTCTAAAATTGCTAAGAATGTTTTAAAAATCATTAAAAAGATTTTTTACATGCTGAATATCTTCATCTCCATTGCAATTTTTCTGGAAACCACCAATGATGTATATGCAAATGCCTTACCTATTTTCTATAAGTCAATCTACATTTTTAGACACTCCTACTTAAACTTATGTCTTGAAAGCTGATAAAGATTTGCTAATTTCCTCCTTTCTATATAATGATGCTATCAATTTTAGCTTATGTTTGGCTTCTGTAGTGAGTAGGAACTAAGCAATCAACTTTCAAACCTGTGTTATTGAATATTATAGTCTTTTTTAGTAAAATTAACAATGATGATGTTAATGATAATTATTTTATTTACTGCTTATTTATTCTGCATTCAATATGACAATTATTCCTACCAAAAGCTGTATTGACCACATTGTCACTGAAACTCATCTTGACCACAGGTAACTTTTCAAACACTAAATGCACTACAAATATTATGTTAAAGTCTTTTTCTATTAAGTTTTTTCACGTTTATTTTAACATTTATTATTATTATTATTTAATATAAACAGTTTCTCAACAATTAATGGCTACATTCAGCCCCTAAACATTGACTCTCTCCCAGATAGCTGGGATGTTTAGAGATTTATGCAAAATATTTGCTGTTCTAAGTAGTGCTGACTTCTGTAGCATATGGATATTGATTCTAAAGTTTTTCAGATGTTGCTTTAGAACTTGGAATGGTCCGATTACAATGGAACTATGGCTGTTTTTCCACAATCATTCAAATTATATTTGCAGGTTCACTTAGTAACTTTCTCTAATTGTTTTTTTTCTACTATTTATTATTATGAGTATATTTACAGTTTGTTCAATGAAAGATGTACTTTTCAAAATTATATTTGATGAGAAGTTAGTCAGTCATCTGTTTGATGATTAAGACACATGACTCACTTATAATGCTAAGTACACTATAAACTCTTATTCTTTTCATTGTAGTAAAATGAATTTTAACGTCTAAAATAATTATATGCATTTAAAACAATATTCTTAACTTGACTATGTAATGTTTTGTTTTATTCACACACATCAGCCATTTTGCTAATTAAATTAAAACTAAAAACAATATCATTGCTATTTTGATTTATTTTCTTTATTTTTTAAACTAAAGTGTAGAATTTTGTGTTATATTAATTTAAATAATATTCTTATATAATTTGAAATGTTAAATATTTTCAAATTTAATGAATCCTGGCACCATATTGTCAACTATCTGATATAAAAGTGTTTTTCCTGGAAGCAAAGTTTATTATTATACAAAGAACAGATTTTCTGCCTATCTTAGGTCAATATAAACTTATATCTATAAATAGAAAATTTGTATAGTACATATAAGTTAAACAATATTAATTAAACAACAATACTTAAGTTATAAATCAAGAAATATACATAAAATAATGATATTTACATTTAATTAAAAATAGAAGTAGCAATAAAATGATAATTAATGAAGGTAGACATGAATAATTAATAACAGTAAGGTGTTAAGAGGCATGTTTAATTTAAACAATTTAACATCTTCCTGTTATTATCTAAATTTAGAAATAAAGTATGCCATAAGATTAATAAAAGTTGTTATTAAATAACTTTTAAAGTTAGAAGACAGTAATAAATAAATTTTTAAGTAATTTTTTAAAACAGTTATTGAAGGAATGGAATAGAATTTTAAAATCCTATTGAATGACCTAATTACAGTAGAACCCCTCTAATCCCTCACCTTTGGGACTGGGGGTATGGTCAGAATGCAAAAAAGGTCGGATTATCAGGAAAAAGTAAAATAAACAATTTTCTCCTTTGTCCAGTCTTTGTAGCACTGCTAATTTTTCATTTAATGAAAGAGTAACGTATTTACGTTTCACTCCCGACATGTTGAAAACACACACAAAACTGTACACGTACACACAATGTAAAACATATACTGTAATAAACACAGAAAAACGCCACGGACAGTGAGTCACTGACAAGTTGGGACAAGTTTCTCGACTACAACCACGGTCGGATTAACCGGAGCAACGGACTAGCTGAGGGCGGACTAGAGGGGTTTTACTGTATTATAATTCATCAGATTTTTATTATAAAAGGAAGTTTCTTTTCATTTGCACAAATATAATTAATATTTTTGATACTTAATGCAGTTTAGTGGTTCTCTCTCAAATTTCTTTGTTTATAACTGCATCTACAATGAATTGCTAGTGAAAATAAGACAAAAGAAACAGAGAAGAAATGGAATGCCTGAGACAATGCTTTCTAAACTGCATACAGGTTAAGTGACATTTTCAATGGCAAACAATTTACTGTTTTCATACCAAGTTGCTGTTAAAAACATATCATAATGAGATACAAGGTATACAACAATGCATGTTATGTGATATTTTGTTTTCATTTTAACAATTTTAAGAAGTATAAATCACTGTAGGTAATATGCAGAAAATTATGGTACAAAAAATAATAGAACATAATTAGATTCATTGGTTAAATGTGTAGTAAAAATTATTGTTGGTTGGTAATCTGTAATACTGTTTTACAAAATAGTCAATATAAATCAAAATAGCAATGATAATGCACATCCAATTTTTGAGATGTCAAAATCCAAAATGTTAGCTTGCAAATGTAATGCACACTTTATATTGAAAACACAGCCGAAAAGCCAAAAGAAGTTAATGCATTAAACAATATTAAGTGCATTTTTTGAAAAACATTATATTTTCATGTTTATAGTGCTTCATAACATCCAGATTTCTAAATATAGTTATTTATGCTCCAATTACCAGGTACAAAGGATCTGCAGACCAATAAAAAAGTCACAGTAAAAATTATTGTACAATCAATGTTTTAACAGCAAGATTTCAAATCAGTTTGTGCAAGCATGAAATTTTCCAGATTTGTAGTGTAAAATATCTTTATCTGTATATATGTTTTTCAGCATAGTGGATAACTCTCTGTTTAAACACAGCTTTATATGAGATTTGTCTGCTGGACATTATTCAATTGGCTTGCTGTACTTCAAAAGACCATTCAAAACCTTTCCAAAAATAAAAACCAAAATTAGAACCATAAGAGTGAGAGGAACATGTGTCATGTCTTTACTGATGTCATAATACACACAAATTGCTGAGCAGAGTGAGTAGCAAATAATATGAATGAGGTTGCATTAAGTTGACTTTGTGCCTGATTCTAATGCACACCCCAATTTTTGAGATCAGAAATGTCCAAAAAAAGGTGCACATTATATTCTAGAAAACAGTATATTGTGCATTTAACCAGGCAAAAATATTGATGAAAAATTATTGATATTTTTGATTTTAATCTTATCAGATGATTGGAATTTATAAAAATTGAAATCAGTTTTGAGAGAATAAATTTAATTTGCAAGTTTTTCATATTGTATATTAAATATGTTTTAAAAATTAAAACTTCAAATAAAAATAATACTTTACATGAAAAAATCAAATTGTAAAAATCATAAATATTTTATAAATTTATTATTTTAATTGAATTTTAAATATATATGATAATTATATATTAATGTCAGAAAATTTAAAAGATTTTTGATTTTAGGGAAGACGAAAAACTTGACTGTATTAGTATCAGTTATGCACCAATCAAGGCATATGTAGATTATCTGTTATCTGAACTTGATGTTGTTATGGTAAGAAGTTTAAGAAGATCTGTACAAAAGGATTGTCAAGTTTTGCAAGAATTTTTAACCGAAGCAATTGCAAAACTTACATATAATCCACAATCTGTAGAAGAATTAGCTGAAGCTAATAAGAAGCAATTAGAATATCATCAGAAAAAAGAACATGTAAATAAATTATATTAATTAAAAATAAACAGTTATTTTAAAGATTATTATGTAGCTATGTTGACCTAATTATTATAGTAAGTTAGTATTAATTTATAATAAATATTAAGTTTATTATTTATAATATGTTTATACCATATTTACCCAAAAATAAGACCTAACCAGAAAATAAGCCCTAGCATGATTTTTTGGAATGCTCATAATATAAGTTCTACTCTTAAAATAAGCCCCAGTTAAGATTGTCAGCCAGATGGTCATATTTAATACCTCCATTGCAACCCACAACAGATGTATTGAATTATAAAATAATAATATTAACATATAGTTAAATATAAATAAATATTATTATTGACATTAATTAATACTTAAAATAAATGATAATATAACTTATAATTAAGTATTTGTAAATACCCAAGTGAGCATCTTTGGGCGAGACATCCCCTGAAAATCAGATGTAATTCATCTTTTGGAGCAAAAATTAATATAAGACCCAGTCTTATTTTTGGGGAAACATGGATTTCTTTGAAATAAAGATAAAGTTTATTAAAAAGTTATATTTTACAATAAAAGTTTATTAATCTGGTATCTATGGGACCAGGGTGATGTTAAATTATCAAAAGTGGATTACTGGATGTTTTTGTATTTTTGTAAAATTCAATAAGTTATATGCAATCTGAATGTTTTAGACATTACTGTATATTTTGTACCAAAGCACACTGCTGTATACTTCCTGTTTGTTTATGCATATTTTTTAATTAGTCTGAAGATGATAATGTATACATATCTTAACACAGTATAACTATACTTTGTGAAGATTGATTGATAAACCTACAAAAATTTAATGAATACATTATTGCACAAAATCAACATTTACAATGATTTATGTGCATATTAATATTTATTTTTCAGGCATATTCTGTAAACATATGATTCATAAAAGCTACAGTTGTTCTGAGTGTAAGAAACTTGTTTGTAGGTGTGTTGTCTTTACATTGGTCTGTGGGAAAGAAAATACATCAGTCATACATGTTCTGAACACAAAACATAAAATTTGGCAATGTTCATTTGGCACAATATAATCTAGACTATGTATAGTTTACTGAATTACACTGCATGGAAATTTGAGGTTTTCCTAACTATTCTTAAGTCAACATTGATGGAATTGCTTTATCTGTTGGGATCAGATTGTTGATGTCTTTTTTTCTGTCTCCACAAGATAGTGTACTGATAACATTCATTTTAAACATGTCTGTGACATGTAGTTGCTTATAACTCTACATTTTCTTTGCCTAGTAATCATTAGTGCATTATGTATCTAAACAAATTCCAATTCACGGAGTACTAGCATGTCAGATTATAATCAGATAATTATAGATTATTGGTTACTTTTCAGAGCTGTCAGATTATCAGGTGTTAGACTAACAAATTTTTACTGTATTTTGATTTTGGAAGATCCTACTTAAAGTGTTTAAATTGGTAAAAATGTAAGGTTAAGTATGCAATAAAATTTCAATGCAATATTTATTTAAATAGGGAAAGAATAAAAGACCATTTGTTACATATGGCAGTCCTATAAGCTAACTAATGGTATAAACTTGAAAATTTTCTTCAGTAAATTCTTAGTCTAAATTTTATTTAGCTTTACATTTTAAAAGACAACAATGGAAAAGCATGTTTTGCATCTCATCATGAGAATATGGAGAATTATCATTGACTTTGCAATTTACTTTTTCTGTTTTATAAAATGTTGCTCTTCACTGTTTTTTTTTTATTGTTTGAAGAAGAAATAGAAAGAATATANGAAAAGTTTTTGCAGCTTTATGAAGATGTTCAAATAAAGAATGAATTTTTGGGCAAATGGTCAAGAAGTGCAGTTATTGAATTAAGCAGTCTCCAAGGGCAATGGGATATGTTTGAACGTATAATTGATGATCATTCTGAATTAATTACTCAGCAGGTAACTTATGTACAAATTATAGCATAATATCTTTTCTAATTGAATTAATCTGTTATATAAAAATATTATTATTTTATAATTTAGTTGCATTGTTTTGAATTAATCATTAAAATATGTAATTTTTTAATTTTTAAGAAATTTTATGTATTATCATTCTTAATAACTAAACTATACTCTATTTTGTAGTTTTTTTATTGAGTTAAATTCATTATAATAATGAAGAATAACTAGTAATTGATGCAAACCACATTGTCTTCATTCCATAAACTTGAAGGCCAGGCTGATCTTGTGTCATTTTCCATTGACATTATACCTGACATGAATTGCCCATGCCACTCAAACATACATACCCAAGCTAAAGCTTTATCATCATAAACAACACATAAAAGCTGCAATATTTATGTTGCTATTTTGTCTAGCTTCACACAGAAGATGATATTAATTTTCTGTTTAATTTGGATGTCTTTTCATCTCACAGTAAAAAGTGCCACTGACATGTCATGAAAGTTTTCCTGCAGTGCCCTGCTGTCTATTGGAGGTCAAGAAAACTAATGTTCATGACATATAAATATCCATTTACTGAAATGTAATATCCTAAACCACACAATGTTTACCTAAGGAAAGATATTAAATCAGTCTCAGAACTTTATGGACAAAGGGATAACTAAATTTACCTTAAGATTAGGTACAAATGTATTTGTTTATTAACTAAGAAATATAAAAGGCATGTATTTGTATGGGTTTTCATTTAAAAAATATTTTAAACCAGCTGAATTTCTAGAAATTATTTACTGTCAAAAATGATGTGTAAGTAGGTAAAGGATTATACCTTTATTTATTCTTTACTTATTATTTTTTTTATAAAATCTTCATACTAATATATATGCATTTATTTTCATTCTAAAAGTTTGAAAATTCTCTTGTGGTAGAAATTTATTTTGAATTTTTGTACCCAATGAAGCATAGATTGCACAACTGTTTCATGCCTGCTATTGCCACATTGTTACAACATAGCCAATATAAATGTTATTTCATATTGCAAAATTGTATGATAGATGTTAATTTTAGATATAAATCACGTTTTCTTTTGTTATGAATAGTTTATCCATAATATGATGTTGGCCATTACTTTCAGTCAAATGTTATACATGTTTTCTTGTCTTGCTTTAACTTTTGAAAAGATCAATGATTCTTTTATATTTAATAAAATAAACTGATGGAAAAAGACAATCCATCAGTTTACTTTAACTTAAATTTTTTTGAATTGATAAACTTAAATTTTTAAATTTAATTAAAACAAAATAATTTAATAATTTGATAGTTTGATTGATTATATTCATAAATTTAAATAAAAAATAATATGAGTAAAAATTTTGTATTTTATGCATTTATTTATTTAATAAACTTGATAGAGGAACTTATTCTTGGAATATATTATTTTGATTATATTTTATTTTTTAATAATAGATTGAAGTATTAAAAACAAAAGTGTTAAATGATTTAAAAAATTATGAAAAAGAAATAGAAAGGTTTTCAGCACATTGGCATCAATTGAAACCTCAAAATGAAGCATTTAATGGAGGTATAAATCAAGTAGAAATGGCCATTACTGTAATAAAAGAAAAACGAATTGAATTTAATGAACTGATAAAAACTAAAGAAAAATTATTGTGAGTATTAAACTTTTTTATAAAAATAAAACAATAGTTTTTAAGTATATTATCATATATTTTGAAAATTTATTATTAAATAAATTTAAAGTGAGATATTAGTTTTACATTTTCTCCTATATTGTAATATATTTGAGTAAACTAGATTTTAATAAATATTTTATAAATTTGAAATTACTAATATAGAATATAGTTTGATACAGTGACAAAATTAGAAATTTTAGTCTCTTAAACAAAATATGATAAAGTGCCCTCCAATGCTTAGGGCCTATCCCTTTCATATTAATAGTAGTATAAAAATTTAAACAAGTTTTTAAATTACCAATTTTACTATATATATATTTTTTTTAAATAAAAAATAGTATGCTACAGAATGGTTTTTAATGAATAAAATTATGCTTGTCAATTAAATGTTTGTTATATCTCTATATCTTATCAATGCTTAAAACATATAAAATTAAATCAAATTCTTTCAGGAATGATATTGAGCAATTTAATGTACCTGCACCTGATTTATCTGTAATAGAAGAGTTGGAAAAAGATTTACAAAATACTGAACAAATATGGTTTTTATTTGATGAATTTAAATCAGGAATGGATGAATTATCAAAAGAAGAATGGATTTTATTTAGGTAATTTTAGAATAATTTTATTTTTATATAAATTGTATGGTATTGAAATTATTTTAACCAATTTAAATTTAAAATTTTTAATATTTTACACTTTCATTTTTAATGTTATTAGAATGATTCTAGTTCTTTGAATTTAAGAGAAAAATAAATTTTTAAAAATTTCTAATTATATCCGTAATAAAAATGAAAGAATTCTAAATCATCAGATTATTTTCAGACTATGTTTTAAACTAATTAAATAATTAAACAATGTGGGTCATCTAGAAAATAAAAACTGTTTGGTTGTAAAAAAAATACAGAAACTAAGAAAATTCAATTCCTTTTTCCAATATACTCTTCCTGGACATTTAGGCATTTGTCATAACAATACATAAGCTTTTGAATGCTCTGATAGAAAGTAGCTGATTATATGTTTAGCAAGTCATTACATGCAGCTTTAACTTCATCTTCAGTTTTAATACACCTGCCACTGAAAATGTTTTTTAAATGTTTGAAAAGCCCAGACTTACCCAATGGGGCAAGTCTGGGCTGTAAGAGGAATGTTCAAGAACTTCCCATCCAAATTGCTGAATCAATTACTAAGTTATGACAGCAATATATGGGCATCCATTATCATGCAGAGGATAGATGCCACTTGAGAGTAAGTTCTGCTGGAAATTAAACAAATAACATTGTTTTTGAACATAACTCTTGTCTATTATCTGTACACTACAACTATCCAACAATGAATTTCAAATGATCAAACATTTTATGCATTCAAAAAATGAATGGCAGGTTGCACTTCACAGTTGGTGGGATTTTCAAGTGTAGCAATATTTGAATACTTGAATGTTTGTTTAGTAATTCACAAAAACATTGAATTAGTTGAGTTGTCTTCCTTGATGAAATTATGTGTAGTAAGTTAGGCACTGACATATAGTACATTATATAAGAAGCATTGGAAAACTAGCACTTTTATTAGTTTTTGTTTGTTATTACTATAATAATTCTATTAAAGCAGACATATTACTATGAGAAAATGTACAAACTAGTATAACAAGAGAAATGATATTTAAATGTATCAATGATTTTATGAAGACACATAGAATTAAGTTTGAAGATTTATGTAGTAATGGTGTGAAGTCAATGATATGATCTGTGAAAGGGGCAGTAATACAAATTTAAAGTGTTGCTAAAACCTGCATGAGTAGAAACTGTGTTTCTCACAGACATGCATTGGTTGCTTGAAACAGTCCTTCATCTTTAAAATGTATTTTAAATGAAGAAGTGAAGCTTATGAACTTTGTGAAAACACAACCACTAAAAACAAGATTATTCAAAATTATATGTGAAGATGTGAACAGCCAACGTACAGTTTTTTGGAGTAGCTAGTTGTTGTGTGGCAGAGTTCTTATCAGATTGTTTGAATTACAAGAAGAGTGCACCATATTCTTAAACAATGTCAGGTTGCTGATAGGGGCACAGTGGTCAAGATAGATGAGGGGTCATATGTGGATGTGACTGGCATTCAGACAGACACGATGATTTCAAAAAACTGATTATTTGACACAAAATTAAATGATGTTTCTCTCTTTATATTTTTTCTGATCATCCTAACCAATTGGTTGCTTAAAAGATTTCTGTAATCTTAAAAGTTTAAAGTTGGTGATGGTCTTCCTCCTCCTTTCCAAAAATAGTCCCAAATGAAGGAGTATCCTTGGTTCACAAGTGAAAGTTCTTTTGATGTCTCGAAATCCCTAGAGAATGCATTCAACTTTCAGTGATGGGAATGTGTCAATCTAAGTAAGGGAGATGGAAACAAAGATAGGCATGAGGCACCCACACAACAAATAGTTGACACATAGAGTTTTTAGGAGAAATCATCATATTCTTGAAATTTGGATTTTTATTATTTTCTGTCTCTGATCATCTTAACCAATTGGTTGCTTTCCCTTGTTCTCACTTTTTAAGTGGTTGGTCACTTGTTACTAAGTATAACGAGATCTCAACTTAGATCACAGAATAGGTCAAAATCAATATTTAATTTGATCCCAATCATAGACAGTTGATATTGGGACTTTGTCTAATCTTTTGTCATGTTTCTGAGAAAAGATTTTTTTCATTTGTTATTTTTTCCTTTTATATAAAAAAATATATTAAATATTAGTGAAATATTAGTGAATTTAGTGGGGTTTTAGGACATTTTCAGAACCTCACAACAATGACAAATTACATTAGAAGATTACTTTAGAAATGTTTCATGGTTGAGTCAAATTGCTTATTTGACTCAACTTATAATTTAATAACTTATAATTTATAAATAACTTATAATTTTTTAAATAACTTATTTGACTCAACAAATAAGCAATAGTCAAATTGCTTATTTGACTNATATTCTTGAAATTTGGATTTTTATTATTTTCTGTCTCTGATCATCTTAACCAATTGGTTGCTTTCCCTTGTTCTCACTTTTTAAGTGGTTGGTCACTTGTTACTAAGTATAACGAGATCTCAACTTAGATCACAGAATAGGTCAAAATCAATATTTAATTTGATCCCAATCATAGACAGTTGATATTGGGACTTTGTCTAATCTTTTGTCATGTTTCTGAGAAAAGATTTTTTTCATTTGTTATTTTTTCCTTTTATATAAAAAAATATATTAAATATTAGTGAAATATTAGTGAATTTAGTGGGGTTTTAGGACATTTTCAGAACCTCACAACAATGACAAATTACATTAGAAGATTACTTTAGAAATGTTTCATGGTTGAGTCAAATTGCTTATTTGACTCAACTTATAATTTAATAACTTATAATTTATAAATAACTTATAATTTTTTAAATAACTTATTTGACTCAACAAATAAGCAATAGTCAAATTGCTTATTTGACTATTTCTTACAAAATTAAATGATGTTTCTCTCTTTTTTCAAGAGAAAAAACTATAAATATTTTCAACACAAAATATAAATTTCATTCATTATTACAAAAGTTATAATACTGAACCATGGCTGTGAAAAATAATAAGGATTCATTTTCAACTTTAATTGACTTTTTAAAGGAATCAAGCAATGAAATAGATCAGGAAATTTGAAAAGAAATTATTATTTTTTTAAAACAATAACTGATATTAAATGAATAATTTCTTTCTTTAGTGAAGGAAATTATTCATTTAATGATGCCAATGAATATTGGATTTTCATCCTTTCAGTATTAAAGAAAAATTAGAGGGACTGTCTACTTCAAAATATGAAAATCTCATCAACTTGACATCAAATAGCCAAATAAAAGTTAACTTTAATAAAGTTTTTTTTATCATGTTTTGGTGTGACTTAATTAAAGAAGAATATTCAAATTTATTTGAAAAGACAATTTGTTTGTTGCCATTTAGTACCATATAATTTTGTGATAGTGGAGTTTTGCTCTACACTGTGTTAAAAATAAAATACAGATGTCTCTCCTTAGAATTCAACTGTTCATAATTAAACCAAATTTTGAAAGAATAATGAAAGAAAAAAGTTTAATCCTTCACATTAATTGACAGTTTAAATTAATAATATTTTGCTTTTTCATTATTAATCTTTATTTTTGTATATTCAATAAATTATTATTGATTTTTTTATTTTTTTTAATTATGATCAGTAAAAATTCAGTTCTAAAATTTTTTATCAAGGCAAAGTTAGCTCATATAGTCATGTATGTTAATTGTCATTATATCAGCTGGGAACATCTTACATCCATGATCTTTTGTAACTCTTTAATTAGAATTGCCAGATATTCTTTATTTCAAAGGACAGTTTTATCTTGTTAAAATTCAGTTATGAAAAGTTAGAACATTATCATATAATCTTATAGATTATTAAAAGTTTGGTATAGAAGATTTTCAGAATTAATCAATTTAATTATTATTCTGTTAAATTAATTAAATAGAAAATATTTATTATTATTATGTAGTAGTAATTGTTTATATTTAATATAAATTTATAATACTGTTTGTAGACTACAACATTGTATTATCTGTATTTATTATATAATTTATATTTCAGAAATAAAGTGCATCATTTTGAATTGTTTCTCAATAACTGGGTTGAAAAGATTGAAAAACAAGAAATAACAGATGAGCCAAAAACAATTACTGTTTTGCTACATCAAGAAATTAATAATTACAAGGTATATAATTACTTTAAGTTTAGTTCAAATTATAATTTGAATTAATCTTAAATCAATATTTAATCAAGATATTTTAAATAATTTTTATTATATATATATATATATTTTTCCTGTTAATAGATTTTTTATTTTGAAGTTAGTAAAATCATACAAATGTATATTGCCTGTTATTTATAAATAGAGATGATGATAAAGATCTTGATTTATGGTTGCATTAAATTAATGATGGCCCAAAAGACAGGCTGAATATATATGTTTTTCATAAATAATTTTATTAGATTAAGGTCTCATTCATAATTTAAACTTATATTAATCTAGCTTGTATATTTATATCAAAATTAATGTTTTTTTTATTTGTATTTGATAATGTATGAAAATTATTGATCATTTATTTAAAATAGTTTATTTTATTATCTATTTTTAATACATTTCAGAAAGTTATACCAGCATTAAAATATTGTAGAGGTGATGTATTTTCTTCATCACATTGGGCTAATCTGTTTCATATATTAAATATGCCAAATACTCCAATTGAAAAATTATTATTTGGTGATTTCTTAATGGCTAAAGACAAAATTATTGATAATATTGAAAATTTAAAAGTAAGTATATTTTGCAATTTATTGTAACAGATAATTTTTTTAAATTCATTTATTATTCCTTGTCATAATGATTTGAAAAAATTTTCTCAATAACATAAAAAATTTCAATATAAAATAACAAAGTTAAATTAATATGGTATATATCAGTCTCTTGCAGAATAATTTTTATTTTACAAATTCTAAATCATGTCCAGCACAGTATTGAAAATTCAAATGCAATAAGCTTTGATATTACAATCCAGGGGTATCATGTTTTTTAATTAACAAACAAAAAATTAAAATTTCAAAATAGATTTTGTGATGATTTTGAGAATTTCCAGGTACTTGCCTTTATATCCTAACTTTCAGATTTCTATAAAAAAATTTATTTTTTGTTATTAGCATTTTGTCTCAATTAAAAAGGATTTTGTTTTGAAAATTTCTGTTGTGCCAATATTCCAGACAGAAATTATAGATTAATAATTTCTAAAGCAACAACTGTGGTTGGAGAGCATACATACAACCTGATTTAAACAATGGAGATCCCAAGATCAGATTTAAATTTTCAATATTTCTGGTTAAAATTGAAGTCAACATCAAGTCATCAATGACTTGATGTTGACTTTTTTTGCAATCCAAAAGGTGTTTCAATTTTCACTTGGAGGCAGTGAGTAATCAATTGGTTGTGAGGGAGAAAGTTTGAAATCAATCAGGATGACTCAATTTTACTGTGTTCTCTCTCCCTTGTAATCAATATTGCCACTAGGATACCTTGTGCCTGCCTGCAAGTTTTATTTTTTTGCATCCTTATGAAATATACTGTGAATTCCTATTTTTTTATTACCATCAAAACTCCTTTAAATTGAGTTTGGATGGTAAGACATTGTTAACCAGTACAAATTTAGTTCTCAATAGACAAGAAACTCACCACTTTCACATACATGTCATCATACAATGTTTTTTTAATTATTTCTGCCCTGTGGGCACTAAGAGGTTCTTTTTAGTGAGCCCATTATTTGTTCGATCAGGCTACAGTGAGATGGCCAGATGGTAAGGGACAGGGATTTGACATATCTGAATAGACCATTCCTGAAAAATTCTTGGTGTTTTTTAATCTGTCTGGATTTGATTGCAGGTTCTCCAGAAAGTAGGCTGCCATCTAACTGCTTATCCATCCAGCCATATCATACAATACTATAAATTTGTATAAACATACAATGACAGTGTTAATTCTTGGAACATTGGAATTTGCAATTTTACTTTGTAAACATAATGTTTTGTTCCATTTATTGTCATTTCATAATTCAAATCAGGCACTTAATTAGAAATGTCATTTGGTGTCTCATTGACAACTATTTATAATGTTTATAGATATAAATTTCTTATGAAAAAGAAATGTTTTTAATAATATATATAATTATTTTAAGAAACACATTTTTATTATAAACTAGTTTACCCGTCGCGCATTGCTGCGATCTCAGAAGAAACGAAATTCAAGCAAACTCGTTATGATAAAATTAAATTTACATTTTATCATTTTTATTGAAACTTATTATTATTATTCATTTTCATCGGGAAAACAAGTCGTTTCAATTCTATTTATTTATTGGAGTGCTTGTGGATACACGATATTTTTTGTTTTTCCGTCTGGTACATACATGAATAAATCAGAAGGTTTTCCGACGCGTGAGCTGGCCACATACAGTTGTCCATGCGAGAAGCACGGATTCTCCAAATTTAACCCACACACTCACAGCGATTGTCAGAAGTGCGATATTCCTCATTTTTATATATTTTTAAAAATCCTTTATAATTTTCATTATTTAATTGCTCCATCCTCTCTTCCTTGGCATGTTGTGAAATTTCTGATAGTTGGATAATAAACCGTTTTATTGTAATTTGTCTTTTTAAATTATTTTGAGTCTATATTAAAATTTGGAAAAGGGGGGGCTACCTAGATTGGTAAAATACGCGAATTTCTTCCTACAACTTCGGTTGTTGTTCGGGGTACAGTTAAGGTTTTAACGAAGTTCGAGCGAATACATAATTAGCAAAAAAAAGTTGAAATAAAGTGATTAAACAAAAATTGTTACAAATATTGTAAATAACAAATGCATATATAGAGATATTTTTTGAAAGGGGGAAATGGTTTTCACAATTTGAAATGGATCGAACGCTTGTGTAAACGCGCGCCATCTATCGTAGGATAAATGTACTACGCGGGAGGGTATTAAAAAACTTTCCAAAGTTTCATTTTTATATATATAGATGAAAAAGACAAGATTTTTATGCTTTCTGTTAATTTATAACTTTTCTATTGGAAATTTATCTTTATAAAATAATAAATAACCTATAATAAAGCTATTAAGTTTGTAAATAATAAGCATTATTTTTTGTTAGGAATTAAATAATAGAGCACAAGGTGAAGTAACCATTCGAGAAGCTTTGAATGAATTAGATCTTTGGAGTGCAAGAGCTAAATTTTCAATAACTGAACACGAAGATTCACAAAAGAAGAAAATTATTCTTATTAAAGACTGGAGAGATATATTAAACAAGGTTTGTTGAAAAACACTATGCATTGTATTAAATTACTAATTAGTTACTTGGAATAATATATATTAAGAAATATATCAATACTATATCTTTTAGGTTGGTGAAAACCAATGTTTAATACAGTCATTGAAAGATTCTTCTTATTACAAACATTTTGCTGATCGTGCAAGTATTTGGGAAAATCGTCTAACTACATTGGATTTATCACTTCAGCAGTTAAATCAGGTCCAGAGAAAATGGGTTTATTTAGAACCTATTCTTGGAAGAGGAGCATTGCCTTCTGAACATACACGTTTTCAAAATATATGTAATGATTTTAGGTTTGTGTTTAAAACTTACATATTTATTTGAATCTAATTTTTTAAAATGTAATTAATTATTACTTTTATTTGTAAACTTAATATTATATTTACAGTTAAATTTATATTTTTGCTCAATATATTTTAAGATATAATATACTTTATTGATGTTTTACTTAATATATAAATATGTTTTAAATAATAACTAACAAATAATTATAATCACCATAACTCTTCTAGACCTTTTTGTTATGGCTTCCATATATCAATGCAGCTCTCATGTATTTCTGATATGCATTATATGGCTCCTATCATGACGAGGTTTAGCCATTTCTGATATATAATATAAAAAGTTTGAGAAATTTCTTAAGTCTTCAACTTATGTAATTAACTTGATCTAAAGGTTTTTTCTCAAGTTTAAAGATCATGAGTTGCAATGTGCTTAAATACAAGACATTTTTTGTCATTTATATTAATTGTAAAGGATAACTAAAGCTAAATGGCTTTTGATTACAAAAAGAAAACTTTGAGAAAACTTCATTTAATATCAAGTACACAAATATAAAATATATGTAATGTATACATTATAATAAGTACTATGTAGATTCATTAACACAGTAGAACTTTCATCAAAGCACAAATTGATTCAATATGACACATACACACACTATCAATTGATATTAACTAGACATTAACACTATTTATGTATGTTCAAAGCAGTGCTTAATAAATAGCATTGCCAATAAATATTGAAATTGTTTATTCTCAAATTTGTGTAAACCAAGGACTTACTGTAACTTCATATAAACATTTTGAAATGGAATTTACCTTCTGATCGAACACTTTTTGAACTTCTGGGCTTTCAGATGAGAGAACCAACATGTGAACTCTTCAAATTTTCAGAGTTCAGGCATTCAAGGTTTGCATTACATTTAGAGAAGATTGATTTTTGATCTCTGACACAAAACATTCAATTTAAACTACTTTTGTATAATCTATGTATTATATTATAATGTATTAATAAAAATTAAATTATATTAAATAATAATGATAAAATATATTATTACATATTTTTTATAAATATTTATATATTGTTATTTTGATATTTGTTTCAGATCTATAATGGATAATGTGGCTCAAGACTTGCATGTTATTTCACTGACAAATTACTCAGGATTAAGTTCAAAATTAAATAATCTTATAGATCAGTTACATAGATGTCAGAAAGCTCTTAATCAGTTTTTGGAGGTATTTATTTAAATGCTATTCTTTTAAAATTAATAAATTTAAAATAATGATATATATTTTTAACAGACCCATACATAGAATTTTCAATAGAATACAATTTTAAAAAAAGAACATTATTTCCATAATATACTTGTAATTTATTAATTTTTACAATATATTTTATATAAGATTAGATTAAAATTAGAGTAATACAATACAGAGGAACAGAATAGGTACAAAATAAAAGTTACATACAATATACTTTTTTAATAACATAGTAACATTTTTTATTTAATTTTTTTAATTTTTTTCAAATGGGGATTAAACCCAGAAAACACTCATGTGCATAGCTTTGTCTTTAAAATTAATAAAAATAATCTAATAAGTTTTTATTTAGCTAAATCAGGGTTCTCCCTTACTCAGAAAGCTGGAAATTGTTAGGGAATTTTTTAATAATAAGTAAAGCTCAGAGATTTCATTTATTTTTCTGGAAATTTACAAACATTACTAACTATGAAATGGAAGAATTTTTAAAATTAAAAATGCTTTAAAATTATTTCACATTTTTTGATGTTATGTTCAGATACATACAATAAAGAGTTTTAACCAATTATATTACTGTTTTATGTAAGTTTGCAATTTAAAAATGAAACATTTTTTAAGTAATATAATAATCATACACAGTTTTTGTTAGATTAGAATTTTTTTGGAAAAACTGTTAGTAGTTTATTCAGTTTAGAATATGACATTGTCTTGTATATTGATTGTCTCTAAATAATGCTAATTCATTTTATCATTAACTCTCCTTATCTAAACTGTTCAAATATATATTAAAGTTATATATACACTTTTAAGTATTTTAAACATGGTAATAGTGTATGTTAGTGCAGCATTTCTCAACTACCGGTTTTCGGAGATTCTTAACCAGTCCACGGAGAATTTTTACCACTCTGTGTTAAAAAACTTTCTTTTTGTCAAGGGTTTGTATTTATTAATAATTACAGTTAAAAACAACAATAAAAATTATACTTGTAGTAAACACTATTAATTTAATTTTTTAGTAATTACAAGACTGATTTTTTATTCTGTCCTATATGTAATATTTTTGTGATATCATGATTTTCTGTGATTTTTGTCAAAGATTTATTTTTATAAAATAATTATAATAATTACTTATATTTACATTTAAATATTATTGTATGTAAATGATAATAATAATTTTACAATTTACATCTATAGTAATTCTTTAATATCTAGTAAAAGTTTTTGTTAAAACACCACCGTCTGCAAAATTTTTTTCACAAATTTTACTATATAACTGGACTGCTGTATGTTACTATGTATATAATTCGTCTCTGTAATCCAAAAATTTCTGGTAGACGGACTCACAGCAAAACTTTTAGTTAGGAACTCACTTTTATTCTTTAAAAAATGACATATGCATTTCAGGTTGGTACATACAACCTCTCCTCAGTCTCTTAAAAATAAAATTTGTGTGTGGGCTACCAATACATCTAAACACCAACAATTGTTTCTGATCAATACACCTTAAAATTATCGTACAAGTTTAAAGAGCACTTGAAGTGTTTGCATTACATCACTTCTAAAAACAAATTACATTATGACAATTTTGTAGACTTAACAAAAGCATGAAAAAACAATACCTTACATACCTTTAAAATATGAATAGTATTATATTATTAAATGAAGGATTCTAATGTATTGTGAGGTATTGGATTGTTAGTATACTATTCATATTTTAAAGGTATGTAAGGTATTGTTTTTTCATGCTTTTGTTAAGTCTACAAAATTGTCATAATGTAATTTGTTTTTAGAAGTAATGTAATGCAAACACTTCAAGTGCTCTTTAAATTTGTACGATAATTTTAAGGTGTATTGATCAGAAACAATTGTTGGTGTTTAGATGTATTGGTAGCCCACACACAAATTTTATTTTTAAGAGTAAGTATGTACAAATATTTTGTAATGTATGTGATGTCATGTACTGATTATTATAGCTTTTTATTGTTTTTTGAAAAATTAGCACTGAGGAGTGGTTGGATGTATGTACCAACCTGAAATGCATATGTCATTTTTTAAAGAATAAAAGTGAGTTCCTAACTAAAAGTTTTGCTGTGAGTCCGTCTACCAGAAATTTTTGGATTACAGAGACGAATTATATACATTGGTTCAAAAAAGGCTGAAAAATGCTGTGTTAGTGTATTTTAAATATGGTAATAGTGTTTATAATATTGTTTTACAGATATAAGAAAAATTTGATAATCTATGCCATCTCATATTAAATGCTAATTTGATAAAGATTTTCTCGGTTTTTTTTTTTTTATTTAGAAAGAATTACAAGATATACATTGATTATTTTCAAATTACTTGAATTCAGGTGTACTGGTATAAAATATAATATATAGACATTTTTTAATAATGAGACTGATAATTTTATGTAGAACAGGACTGCTAAAAGTAGTCATACTAGTTTGAAGCTATGACCGTTATATATTTTTAAAAAGTTTGCCTAAATCTAGCTGTATATACTATATATAGCTGTTCNTATAGTTAAATATAAATAAATATTATTATTGACATTAATTAATACTTAAAATAAATGATAATATAACTTATAATTAAGTATTTGTAAATACCCAAGTGAGCATCTTTGGGCGAGACATCCCCTGAAAATCAGATGTAATTCATCTTTTGGAGCAAAAATTAATATAAGACCCAGTCTTATTTTTGGGGAAACATGGATTTCTTTGAAATAAAGATAAAGTTTATTAAAAAGTTATATTTTACAATAAAAGTTTATTAATCTGGTATCTATGGGACCAGGGTGATGTTAAATTATCAAAAGTGGATTACTGGATGTTTTTGTATTTTTGTAAAATTCAATAAGTTATATGCAATCTGAATGTTTTAGACATTACTGTATATTTTGTACCAAAGCACACTGCTGTATACTTCCTGTTTGTTTATGCATATTTTTTAATTAGTCTGAAGATGATAATGTATACATATCTTAACACAGTATAACTATACTTTGTGAAGATTGATTGATAAACCTACAAAAATTTAATGAATACATTATTGCACAAAATCAACATTTACAATGATTTATGTGCATATTAATATTTATTTTTCAGGCATATTCTGTAAACATATGATTCATAAAAGCTACAGTTGTTCTGAGTGTAAGAAACTTGTTTGTAGGTGTGTTGTCTTTACATTGGTCTGTGGGAAAGAAAATACATCAGTCATACATGTTCTGAACACAAAACATAAAATTTGGCAATGTTCATTTGGCACAATATAATCTAGACTATGTATAGTTTACTGAATTACACTGCATGGAAATTTGAGGTTTTCCTAACTATTCTTAAGTCAACATTGATGGAATTGCTTTATCTGTTGGGATCAGATTGTTGATGTCTTTTTTTCTGTCTCCACAAGATAGTGTACTGATAACATTCATTTTAAACATGTCTGTGACATGTAGTTGCTTATAACTCTACATTTTCTTTGCCTAGTAATCATTAGTGCATTATGTATCTAAACAAATTCCAATTCACGGAGTACTAGCATGTCAGATTATAATCAGATAATTATAGATTATTGGTTACTTTTCAGAGCTGTCAGATTATCAGGTGTTAGACTAACAAATTTTTACTGTATTTTGATTTTGGAAGATCCTACTTAAAGTGTTTAAATTGGTAAAAATGTAAGGTTAAGTATGCAATAAAATTTCAATGCAATATTTATTTAAATAGGGAAAGAATAAAAGACCATTTGTTACATATGGCAGTCCTATAAGCTAACTAATGGTATAAACTTGAAAATTTTCTTCAGTAAATTCTTAGTCTAAATTTTATTTAGCTTTACATTTTAAAAGACAACAATGGAAAAGCATGTTTTGCATCTCATCATGAGAATATGGAGAATTATCATTGACTTTGCAATTTACTTTTTCTGTTTTATAAAATGTTGCTCTTCACTGTTTTTTTTTTATTGTTTGAAGAAGAAATAGAAAGAATATAGTAAATATTTTGAAATTTCTTTGTAAAATATTAAATATAATAATTATAATAATATATATTTAATTAATTTTAATTATTGAATTTTGTTGAAAAGTTTTTGCAGCTTTATGAAGATGTTCAAATAAAGAATGAATTTTTGGGCAAATGGTCAAGAAGTGCAGTTATTGAATTAAGCAGTCTCCAAGGGCAATGGGATATGTTTGAACGTATAATTGATGATCATTCTGAATTAATTACTCAGCAGGTAACTTATGTACAAATTATAGCATAATATCTTTTCTAATTGAATTAATCTGTTATATAAAAATATTATTATTTTATAATTTAGTTGCATTGTTTTGAATTAATCATTAAAATATGTAATTTTTTAATTTTTAAGAAATTTTATGTATTATCATTCTTAATAACTAAACTATACTCTATTTTGTAGTTTTTTTATTGAGTTAAATTCATTATAATAATGAAGAATAACTAGTAATTGATGCAAACCACATTGTCTTCATTCCATAAACTTGAAGGCCAGGCTGATCTTGTGTCATTTTCCATTGACATTATACCTGACATGAATTGCCCATGCCACTCAAACATACATACCCAAGCTAAAGCTTTATCATCATAAACAACACATAAAAGCTGCAATATTTATGTTGCTATTTTGTCTAGCTTCACACAGAAGATGATATTAATTTTCTGTTTAATTTGGATGTCTTTTCATCTCACAGTAAAAAGTGCCACTGACATGTCATGAAAGTTTTCCTGCAGTGCCCTGCTGTCTATTGGAGGTCAAGAAAACTAATGTTCATGACATATAAATATCCATTTACTGAAATGTAATATCCTAAACCACACAATGTTTACCTAAGGAAAGATATTAAATCAGTCTCAGAACTTTATGGACAAAGGGATAACTAAATTTACCTTAAGATTAGGTACAAATGTATTTGTTTATTAACTAAGAAATATAAAAGGCATGTATTTGTATGGGTTTTCATTTAAAAAATATTTTAAACCAGCTGAATTTCTAGAAATTATTTACTGTCAAAAATGATGTGTAAGTAGGTAAAGGATTATACCTTTATTTATTCTTTACTTATTATTTTTTTTATAAAATCTTCATACTAATATATATGCATTTATTTTCATTCTAAAAGTTTGAAAATTCTCTTGTGGTAGAAATTTATTTTGAATTTTTGTACCCAATGAAGCATAGATTGCACAACTGTTTCATGCCTGCTATTGCCACATTGTTACAACATAGCCAATATAAATGTTATTTCATATTGCAAAATTGTATGATAGATGTTAATTTTAGATATAAATCACGTTTTCTTTTGTTATGAATAGTTTATCCATAATATGATGTTGGCCATTACTTTCAGTCAAATGTTATACATGTTTTCTTGTCTTGCTTTAACTTTTGAAAAGATCAATGATTCTTTTATATTTAATAAAATAAACTGATGGAAAAAGACAATCCATCAGTTTACTTTAACTTAAATTTTTTTGAATTGATAAACTTAAATTTTTAAATTTAATTAAAACAAAATAATTTAATAATTTGATAGTTTGATTGATTATATTCATAAATTTAAATAAAAAATAATATGAGTAAAAATTTTGTATTTTATGCATTTATTTATTTAATAAACTTGATAGAGGAACTTATTCTTGGAATATATTATTTTGATTATATTTTATTTTTTAATAATAGATTGAAGTATTAAAAACAAAAGTGTTAAATGATTTAAAAAATTATGAAAAAGAAATAGAAAGGTTTTCAGCACATTGGCATCAATTGAAACCTCAAAATGAAGCATTTAATGGAGGTATAAATCAAGTAGAAATGGCCATTACTGTAATAAAAGAAAAACGAATTGAATTTAATGAACTGATAAAAACTAAAGAAAAATTATTGTGAGTATTAAACTTTTTNTTAAAAGTTTTCTAATGATAAATCATATAATTAAATAATAATTTTTTCTTTGTTTTACTACTAATAGGATAAACGATCAATATTTCCACGATTTTATTTTATTGGTGATGAAGATTTGCTGGAAATACTAGGACAGGCAACTCAACCACGTATTATTCAATCACATTTGAAAAAATTATTTGCTGGAATACATTCCGTAGAATTTGATGAGGAGTGTAGTCATATTATTTCAATAAAATCTGTTGAAGAAGAAATTGTACCTCTTCAGCATAAAATTCAAGTTACACCAAATATTGAAGTAAGTTTGATATATTATACATCTAAATAATTTGTTTATATTTATTGGACAATGTTAAAAGTAACTTTAAATTTCATAATAAATTAATTAGCTTACTCATTAATATACATGAAATGTTTAAATATTTTACAACTTTTGGCAATTAAACTTCAGAATTGAATCTATTACAAATGTACAAAAACATATAGAAACAACACTCAATTTTTTATAAAACAGATAGCTGACAAATTTGATTTCTTTCTTTTTCTGTAGAATCTTCATATTTAATCATATTAAAAGAAATTTTGATTTTGTTCCATCATTACAAATAATAATAGCAATTTGATAGACAAAGATCACATATTAGTCTGAATGAAATATTATTATTGTACCAATTATTTAAAATACTTTATGTGGTTACTGCTGCTGGTAAGAATGATCTATATGCTATATGCTATATAAATGGAAAGAGCATCATTGATTGCAACTTATGGTATAATAAATAAAATTTTTATTAATTTTTAAAGAAGATTATCTGTTTTATAATTTTTTAAATTTCAGATTGATGTATTCCAAGATATTTCTATTATAGTGAGATTTTAAAATTATCCTAACAATCAACAAATTGAACAAATGCATGTAATTTAATTAAATATCTAAAAGCCAGATTTATTTCTGACTACAGTGAAACTCCATTTATCTGTATCCCATTAATCCAGATCTTTGGTTTACTGGAATAAGAAAGATAGACATACAGAAAACCTATATATGCAAAGAAATCAAAGAACTAACTTGTGAGTGGTACAGTATATCTTGCCTGAGTAGGCTATATGTTGCAGCTGTAAGAATACTGTTTTCTCTTGGCTCACTGCCAATTTTGGACACCAGCAACTTTATAACTGAGGATCTGGTAACAGAAATAAATACAGTACTGTATATCAAAATTACTTCAGTTCAAATTAGTCCTTTGGTTTTCCTACAGAGTTCTAAGCCTAATTACTGAATTACCGGTTGACCTTAAAAAAAATCATAAGGAGAAGTTCTACCCCACACAAATGGTCAGGATTAGTTATGTACATGTACTGTACCATCTGATAGAAAACAACAAATTGATATTATATTAGATAAGTCTTTTGCTTTATACTTTTAATATTGTTGTAAAAGTATATATGATGTGCAATAAATAAAATATAATCTACATCTAAACTCTGTTATTTATGTGGATTTTGGTCATTTGGATTGGGCCCAGTCCCATTTGAGTCAGATAAACAGCATATAGACTGTATAGAGTCTTAAAATATCCAGCTTTGAAATATTAGATTATTGAGTTTTGGGTTTGATTTTCACCTAATTTTATATAACTTTTAAAAAGTAACTTAGATTAGTTAACAGTCAAATTACACATTTCTATGACTACTTATTTCAATAGTTTAAAAAAATTAATTATAATTATAATTATTAAATATAAAATGAACATTGTATGAAGTAATAAAATTTTACTTGTTTATTTAGGTGTGGTTAGGAGAGTTAGCAAAAGAAATGAAGAACACACTGAAGTTATTATTGAAACAAAGTCTTAAAATTAGTAAAGTTGAAGGACAAGGCGGATTGGATCCTTCTAATTTTCCTTCTCAGGTAAATTATAAAACTGTAAAATAATATAAATGTTCAGAAAAAATTAAAACAATGGGATTGGTAATATTTCTAAAAAATTTTTGTAAACTCTAAAAATAAAAATTATTTTCAGATTAAATATAAGTAAAACTACTCTTTTTATATCTGATTTCGAGTGATTTATGCTAGCGGACAAACAATTAACAAAAAGATACTATACTTCAACTGCTAATAACTTGTTGTTTATTAAATTCATAACTTCCAAATGCATTTTGCTTACAAAGCCTCATCAGTGGACAAATGAACATCAACAAATCCTGTTCCCTTTATACTGGGTGATTTTTTCCTAGCATGCATCCACATTCATGCCAGTATTCTGATTTATCAAATTTACATATTCAACAATACAAAAGTGTTCTATCATTCTTCTCTTAAAACAATTTTTAACTCTATATAATATTTTTACATTATTTCTATGTATTTTACAATGACATTTGTTACAGTGTAGGTACCACAGTGACTCTTGTCTTTTTAGCCGAATCACAGCTTCTGTAAAATAATATCATTCAATATTCATAAAGAGTCTTTCATTAAAGTTCTGGTAAATTATGGGATCCCAAAAAAGAAAACAATATTCAATTTAACTAAACACACTCAAGAAAACCTTTAAATATGCAGCCGTATTTATTAAATTCTAATGTTTTCGGTCATATTCAATGACCTTTCTCAAGAAAAAACAGAAAGAATCGAAACTTGAATATGACCAAAAACGTTAGAATTTAATAAATACGGCTGCATATTTAAAGGTTTTCTTGAGTGTGTTTAGTTAGTAAGAAATTGCAGTCTAAGATGAGTTGTAATATTCAATTTATTTTAGAATTGCAAATCAACTTAAAAAAATTTTAAAGTTTTATNGTTTTTTTTATTTGTATTTGATAATGTATGAAAATTATTGATCATTTATTTAAAATAGTTTATTTTATTATCTATTTTTAATACATTTCAGAAAGTTATACCAGCATTAAAATATTGTAGAGGTGATGTATTTTCTTCATCACATTGGGCTAATCTGTTTCATATATTAAATATGCCAAATACTCCAATTGAAAAATTATTATTTGGTGATTTCTTAATGGCTAAAGACAAAATTATTGATAATATTGAAAATTTAAAAGTAAGTATATTTTGCAATTTATTGTAACAGATAATTTTTTTAAATTCATTTATTATTCCTTGTCATAATGATTTGAAAAAATTTTCTCAATAACATAAAAAATTTCAATATAAAATAACAAAGTTAAATTAATATGGTATATATCAGTCTCTTGCAGAATAATTTTTATTTTACAAATTCTAAATCATGTCCAGCACAGTATTGAAAATTCAAATGCAATAAGCTTTGATATTACAATCCAGGGGTATCATGTTTTTTAATTAACAAACAAAAAATTAAAATTTCAAAATAGATTTTGTGATGATTTTGAGAATTTCCAGGTACTTGCCTTTATATCCTAACTTTCAGATTTCTATAAAAAAATTTATTTTTTGTTATTAGCATTTTGTCTCAATTAAAAAGGATTTTGTTTTGAAAATTTCTGTTGTGCCAATATTCCAGACAGAAATTATAGATTAATAATTTCTAAAGCAACAACTGTGGTTGGAGAGCATACATACAACCTGATTTAAACAATGGAGATCCCAAGATCAGATTTAAATTTTCAATATTTCTGGTTAAAATTGAAGTCAACATCAAGTCATCAATGACTTGATGTTGACTTTTTTTGCAATCCAAAAGGTGTTTCAATTTTCACTTGGAGGCAGTGAGTAATCAATTGGTTGTGAGGGAGAAAGTTTGAAATCAATCAGGATGACTCAATTTTACTGTGTTCTCTCTCCCTTGTAATCAATATTGCCACTAGGATACCTTGTGCCTGCCTGCAAGTTTTATTTTTTTGCATCCTTATGAAATATACTGTGAATTCCTATTTTTTTATTACCATCAAAACTCCTTTAAATTGAGTTTGGATGGTAAGACATTGTTAACCAGTACAAATTTAGTTCTCAATAGACAAGAAACTCACCACTTTCACATACATGTCATCATACAATGTTTTTTTAATTATTTCTGCCCTGTGGGCACTAAGAGGTTCTTTTTAGTGAGCCCATTATTTGTTCGATCAGGCTACAGTGAGATGGCCAGATGGTAAGGGACAGGGATTTGACATATCTGAATAGACCATTCCTGAAAAATTCTTGGTGTTTTTTAATCTGTCTGGATTTGATTGCAGGTTCTCCAGAAAGTAGGCTGCCATCTAACTGCTTATCCATCCAGCCATATCATACAATACTATAAATTTGTATAAACATACAATGACAGTGTTAATTCTTGGAACATTGGAATTTGCAATTTTACTTTGTAAACATAATGTTTTGTTCCATTTATTGTCATTTCATAATTCAAATCAGGCACTTAATTAGAAATGTCATTTGGTGTCTAATTAATTTTAATTATTGAATTTTGTTGAAAAGTTTTTGCAGCTTTATGAAGATGTTCAAATAAAGAATGAATTTTTGGGCAAATGGTCAAGAAGTGCAGTTATTGAATTAAGCAGTCTCCAAGGGCAATGGGATATGTTTGAACGTATAATTGATGATCATTCTGAATTAATTACTCAGCAGGTAACTTATGTACAAATTATAGCATAATATCTTTTCTAATTGAATTAATCTGTTATATAAAAATATTATTATTTTATAATTTAGTTGCATTGTTTTGAATTAATCATTAAAATATGTAATTTTTTAATTTTTAAGAAATTTTATGTATTATCATTCTTAATAACTAAACTATACTCTATTTTGTAGTTTTTTTATTGAGTTAAATTCATTATAATAATGAAGAATAACTAGTAATTGATGCAAACCACATTGTCTTCATTCCATAAACTTGAAGGCCAGGCTGATCTTGTGTCATTTTCCATTGACATTATACCTGACATGAATTGCCCATGCCACTCAAACATACATACCCAAGCTAAAGCTTTATCATCATAAACAACACATAAAAGCTGCAATATTTATGTTGCTATTTTGTCTAGCTTCACACAGAAGATGATATTAATTTTCTGTTTAATTTGGATGTCTTTTCATCTCACAGTAAAAAGTGCCACTGACATGTCATGAAAGTTTTCCTGCAGTGCCCTGCTGTCTATTGGAGGTCAAGAAAACTAATGTTCATGACATATAAATATCCATTTACTGAAATGTAATATCCTAAACCACACAATGTTTACCTAAGGAAAGATATTAAATCAGTCTCAGAACTTTATGGACAAAGGGATAACTAAATTTACCTTAAGATTAGGTACAAATGTATTTGTTTATTAACTAAGAAATATAAAAGGCATGTATTTGTATGGGTTTTCATTTAAAAAATATTTTAAACCAGCTGAATTTCTAGAAATTATTTACTGTCAAAAATGATGTGTAAGTAGGTAAAGGATTATACCTTTATTTATTCTTTACTTATTATTTTTTTTATAAAATCTTCATACTAATATATATGCATTTATTTTCATTCTAAAAGTTTGAAAATTCTCTTGTGGTAGAAATTTATTTTGAATTTTTGTACCCAATGAAGCATAGATTGCACAACTGTTTCATGCCTGCTATTGCCACATTGTTACAACATAGCCAATATAAATGTTATTTCATATTGCAAAATTGTATGATAGATGTTAATTTTAGATATAAATCACGTTTTCTTTTGTTATGAATAGTTTATCCATAATATGATGTTGGCCATTACTTTCAGTCAAATGTTATACATGTTTTCTTGTCTTGCTTTAACTTTTGAAAAGATCAATGATTCTTTTATATTTAATAAAATAAACTGATGGAAAAAGACAATCCATCAGTTTACTTTAACTTAAATTTTTTTGAATTGATAAACTTAAATTTTTAAATTTAATTAAAACAAAATAATTTAATAATTTGATAGTTTGATTGATTATATTCATAAATTTAAATAAAAAATAATATGAGTAAAAATTTTGTATTTTATGCATTTATTTATTTAATAAACTTGATAGAGGAACTTATTCTTGGAATATATTATTTTGATTATATTTTATTTTTTAATAATAGATTGAAGTATTAAAAACAAAAGTGTTAAATGATTTAAAAAATTATGAAAAAGAAATAGAAAGGTTTTCAGCACATTGGCATCAATTGAAACCTCAAAATGAAGCATTTAATGGAGGTATAAATCAAGTAGAAATGGCCATTACTGTAATAAAAGAAAAACGAATTGAATTTAATGAACTGATAAAAACTAAAGAAAAATTATTGTGAGTATTAAACTTTTTNAATTTATATTTTTGCTCAATATATTTTAAGATATAATATACTTTATTGATGTTTTACTTAATATATAAATATGTTTTAAATAATAACTAACAAATAATTATAATCACCATAACTCTTCTAGACCTTTTTGTTATGGCTTCCATATATCAATGCAGCTCTCATGTATTTCTGATATGCATTATATGGCTCCTATCATGACGAGGTTTAGCCATTTCTGATATATAATATAAAAAGTTTGAGAAATTTCTTAAGTCTTCAACTTATGTAATTAACTTGATCTAAAGGTTTTTTCTCAAGTTTAAAGATCATGAGTTGCAATGTGCTTAAATACAAGACATTTTTTGTCATTTATATTAATTGTAAAGGATAACTAAAGCTAAATGGCTTTTGATTACAAAAAGAAAACTTTGAGAAAACTTCATTTAATATCAAGTACACAAATATAAAATATATGTAATGTATACATTATAATAAGTACTATGTAGATTCATTAACACAGTAGAACTTTCATCAAAGCACAAATTGATTCAATATGACACATACACACACTATCAATTGATATTAACTAGACATTAACACTATTTATGTATGTTCAAAGCAGTGCTTAATAAATAGCATTGCCAATAAATATTGAAATTGTTTATTCTCAAATT